TCCCCCCCCCCCCCCATGGCGGGGGGGGGGGAATTCTGAGAGAGGAATTCCACCCATCTTAAAGTGGCAAAGGTTGAGAAACACTGAGTTAAAGCGTATAGGCAACCTGCAGAGGGGTCTGCAGGGAGCCATCCAAAAAGTCACAATGGTGTCTGTGACTACACAATCCAAGCCCTGCCGCTTTTTTACATACAACCGTCTTGACTTTTAGATAGATGCTCTTGGCAACCCATTTTTCCTATGCCATTTCATCCTAGACCCTGCCCAGCTTGCTGCAATTAAAAATAAAAAAATAGAGAAAGGAACTATGAAATCCTGCCTCTTTTCTCAAATAATGCCTGATGTTCTACAGGTTTTTTCCTATTATGGTATGAATACTTGTACGGCTACTTAAAGTTTATGTTCTTTGCTTTGTAAGGGATCGCTGGTCTAGCCAGTTCAGATTTACTGGATTTACTTTCAACGGGGGTGTCCGCAGGGCGTGGTCAAAAAGTCAAGATGGCGGCCACCCTGGTGCGTCACAAGTGGAAATTCAATCACACCATCGCAGGCGCCACCTTGACTTTTTTTAAACGACAAGCTGCAGGCACCCCTGCTTCCAGCCTTTATCACACACCACCCGAAATATTATTTGACCCAGAATGGGCCTTATAAACCCTTGAAATAAGTCAACAAATGAACCATCGGTGAGCTCTTCCAGTCCCACAACATCCCGGACTTTGGACAGGGCTGGCTTTAGGCTAAGGCCACTGGCCAAGGGTGCCAACGCTGTTCCTCCTTCCAGGTCATTCTAAAAATGCATTTCTTTGCATCCGCAGAAGGTGGTGCCCTCAGTCCATGTGGCCAGGGGCACCACATACCCTTGGGCTGGCATTGCTTCGCCAGAGGTGGGGCTGCAGGAATAAGGCAACGTGGGCACCCAGACAACTCTAACTCACCCAAGGGTCTGCCACCCAACACTGGTAGCTCACAAGCATGGAGACAGAAATGAAATGCTTTCCAAAAAGCACACACCCTATTTTCAGTTATGCGAAAGGAAATAAATTCTACACATACAGCCCTTTTCCAAACGGGTCGATGGTTTCGCGTGCATTGTCACACCGATGCTTACGCGAGGTGGGTGGGAAGAGCTGAAGATGCAGATCAAAATCGTACCCTCCAGTGAAAGCCTCTGCTGGGCCAGGTTTTAAATGGAGTTAAGCAAAATGATAACCCAAGCAACTGGTTCTCTACCTCCCATATTTATTTCTTTTCTGTAACTTGTATGCCACCCACTTTGCCAGACTCTTGGGTGGCTCGCACAGCTATATTTTCACATTCTAGACGAGGACATGCAAATGCTGGCACGGAGCACTTGCCTACTACACCAGTTGTAAGTTCACAGCAGGTAAAAGTAAAAGATTGGGCCAGAAATATTGTGGCGCCTAGCTCAGTGTTGTCCAAACTTGGCCACTTTAAGATGAATGGACTTCAACTCCCAGAAT